TGTCGTTTTCAAGTCGTTTTCTGTTTTTAATTTTCCAAAACAGTAAAAATGCATTCTCTTCCTTATTTTCGAAAACGCGTTTTTGAAAATGAAAAAAAAAAAAAAAACCAAAGAAAACACAAAATGACTAAATCCTCGTTTTGGAAAAACTTGCAACAAAACAAGCAAATTGGCCAAAACACGGGAAACGCCTTTCTGAATTCTCTCTCTCTCTCTATCTCTCCCCTCTCCCGTAATGTAAGACGCTCTGGATTTCCTCTCTCACAAACCTACAGGCCACAACCCAAAATTGAAAACACATCGTGTTGCCAAATCGAAGGGTTCTCTACGGGATCTTCCAATGAAGGTTTTGAGCTCGCCTTTCCGAATCGAAGGCTTCTCTTTCCTTTCTGATCTAGAGTATTCATATTCTCTATATATTATTGTCCTGTTAATTTATTTACTTCAAGATGTTGTGATTTTTATGCATTTTTGATTGAATTATTCGTTCAATTTGGTACATGATCTAGTTCCGATTCTTTACTTCAGCAAAACCAGAGGCAAATTACGAGATCGCTTTTTGATCATTTGTACTAAATTTTGATAAATTTGGTAAATGTTGAATATTGAATTGTGGGTTTTACTTGTTTTGAAAATTGGGGTAATAGGAAAACAATAGAATGTTGAATTTCAGGTTTGCTTCCTTCGAAAACTGTGGCAAAATGGAAAAAGATCGAACTTTCACTTGTGGGGTTTGCATATTTGGGTGTATTGGTTGAAATGTAAATGAATGTAGCTAATGTACTCGTTTATGAGAAGAATTTGTTTTATTATTTGCTCAATTAATAATTTAAAAAAAAACAAAAATTGAATTTTATAGCTTTTCTGCAATTTATACCCTAAGGAAGCATTTTGAAACAATGAGAGTTTATTCTTTAGCAATGATGATTCAATTATTACATTGTTTTGAAATTTCAAATATTGATTATACCAGCTAGAAAAGTATCGATTTCACTTGAATTTCTTCTTCTTTTTTCCGAATGTAGATTGCTTCATTTATTCTTTGAGTAGTCTAAGATTTCTTTCCATGGATACAGCTGCAACCTAAGTCATTATGTAGACCTTTTGTTTCTTGCCAGAATTTCATGAATACAGGTCAAAAGTGATTTCATCATGCTTTCATTTTAGTGAATTATTGCAATTTTTTCATTTTTGGTTAAATATTTTTTTCTGGTCTTTTTTTATGTTGATGATTAATTTTTGGATTTTAATGCAGCAAACTTTGGATGATTTGCATTGAAATCGGAAGTTAGTGAGTATGTTTGATTAATCTGATTGTTTGATTTTGTGTGTGCTCTTGATTTGGATTCGTTGTTAAAT